AGCCATGTGCTGTTGTGAATTAAAAGGAAGGGATTTCAAACCAAATGGTTCCTCTGAATAGCATTAATCCTGTCAAGAATACTTTGTGACAAAAGCTAAAGGTTGTGCTGTTGCCTTTTAAGCACAACCAAGTTAAACATCCGAACTATTCCTGCTGTCTCTTAAATATTAGGATGTAACACATTTGGGATATTTGTTGACATTTGTTATACTTTTGATGAACAATTAGCCTGCAAGACTATTAACAGGAAATTCCATTCATGAGATAAGCAGCTGTTCGTGCAAACCTTCAGCCAGATCATGGGACCAAAAATCTTCTTTATGCAACTAATGTTTGTTGAATAGTCAGCATTCCTTAGGTATCCAAAAGGAAATGCTTTGAAAATAACTTTTATGGCTAATTTTGACTCCTGTGCTCATAAGGAAAAAATAAGTCTTAAGACTCATTTGGACTCTTGTAGTTTGTGATTATTTAATAGTGTCCCTAATCACCGTATACATTTCAAATAGCAGGTACCAAGAAATGACTGACCCTAGTAATTTCCAACCTGTAATACAGAATCATACAGCCAGTCTTAACAACCCTAACACCACAGCATATCATGGTGTGTTCTTACTTCATTCTTGAAGCAAAGGCTTAGAGTGCCTACCATTATATGGAACATTCTCTTATTCAAAAATATACATCTCTTCCATTTTTTTTTTACTACAGTTATTAAAACAACGTAATATTCCCATTGCAATATTTACTTAGGATCTACTAAATAAATGCTAGGAATGCAGTTTCAAAATAGTGAGAGGCAAATGACTGGTAAGTAACTAGTTAGATTCCAATGCCATAAGAGAAATGATGGCCATTCTGTGAAAGTACTAGAAAGGCAATACATTCTCCACTGGGGGAAGGATTTGATCAAAGATTCACTCCCAAGCCATCAGTCACCAAATTCTAAATACCATTGCCACCCCCCTCTTCCTCTTTCTCTCCAACTGCCTCATCTCCCCCTCCTCTCTACCCAACATGGACAAAAAAGGAAATCTAAAAGGGCCTGGCATTTATTTTAAAGTCAAAGCAAAAGACCATAATTGTGTCCCCATCAGTAAAATATTTCTGAGCAGGCGTTCCCAGTGTGTGTGCATTTATTAAAAATTATACACATGTCCTACTCTGGACTAGCATATTAATTATCAGTAAAGTTTTTCAGATTAAAGACCACATCTGCCTCAAATTTCTTCTAATATTTTCTTGCATTTTGGGGGGGGGGGGGGTACAAGTCTCCCCTGCAACTTGTGAGACCAGTACTCAAAACAGCCACCAGAACAAACTTTCTGAAAAGATATCACATCATAATTATGATCCAGTCTAGAGTTCTGCAATTTATGGTCTGTAGCTTTTACTTAAGTGTGTATGTGCGCGCGCGCGTGTGTGTGTGTGTTTAAATAAACAAAGGTCCCTTCTGGATTTCTTTTCTTGCCCATTATAGCCTCAGATATGGCTGTAAGGATAAACAGGTACCTGCTCAGATAAACAAACCCCACACTCTCCCATCGTCACCCTCAGCTTCATCCCCTCCTAGCCAGCTCCCTGCTCCAGTCCTGCTGAACTTTTGGCAGCAAAGGAGTTAAGATAGACAAGAGGCTGCCTGCTCCTGGGGGTTCATGACCACCAGATGCCAACTGATTTTCTAGTTGAGAACACCCCTGAGGTTTAGTTGGCCAGAAGTCCAAACTACAACTTTTCAGGAGGGTTATGGAGTGTCCCTTTTAGTAAAGGTGGCCGAAAAGTACAAACTTCCAATTATAAGTAAGTCCTAGAGATGTATGGACAGCATGGTAATACAGTTAATAATACTGTATTGTACATTTGAAAGTTGTTAAGACAGTTGATCTTAAAAATCCTCATCATAAGAAAAAAATTGTAATTATGTGGTGATGGATGTTAACTAAATTTATTGTGGTGATCATTTTGCAATATATATATGTATATCAAGTGGTTCACCTAAAAACAATACAATGTTGTATATCAATTATATTTCCATTTAAAAAATAAATATTGGAAACAGCCTAAATGCCCATCAACAGATGAGTGGATTAGAAAACTGTGGTACATCTACACAATGGAATACTACGCTGCTATAAAAAAGAAGAAATTCTTACCGTTTGCAGCAGCATGGATGGAACTGGAGAGCATTATGCTAAGTGAAATAAGCCAGGAAGTGAAAGAAAAACACCACATGATCTCACTCATTTATGGATAATAAAGAATATTATAACCTGATGAACAAAAAGATAGATACAGAGGCAGAGAGCATCGAACAGACTGTCAAATTACAATGGGAAGGCTGGGGAGTGTTGGGGCGGGGTGGGAGGTAAGAGATCAACCGAAGGACTTGTATGCATGCATATAAGCATAACCAATGGACACAACACACTCGGGGGTGGGGTAAGGGCATGTGCCAGGGGGTAGGGGAGGCCGAGGGAAGGTCAATGGAGGGGGGGAAAAAGGAGACATATGTACTACTATCTGTAATACTTTAAACAATAAAATAAAATAAATAAAATAAAATAAAAAGAAACGGCAAAAAAAAAAGAAGAAGAAATAAGAAATAGCCCGAGATGGTTAGGCTCAGTGGATAGAGTGTAGGCCTGTGGACTGAAGGGTCCCAGGTTCAATTCTTGTCAAAGGCACATTCTCCATCCCCAGTAGGGGGAGTGCAGGCTCCATCTCCAGTAGGGGCAGTGCAGGAAGCAGCCGATCAATGATTCTCTCTCATCATTGATGTTTCTATCTCTCTCTCCCTCTCCCTTCCTTTCTGAAATCAATAGAAATATTTTTTAAACATATGAAAAAGAAATAAAAATTAATAATAATTTTAATATTAATAAAAATAAGAGTCCCTTTTAAAGCATTTTAAAATCTTAACAGGTGAGGTGAGTCCCATTACATGACAGAAAATGAGCCCATGTATGTTTTGGCTCCAACTGCTGTAACGATTAACTATATAAATCTAAAATGTATCCCACTATGCACCCAAGACCTTCCCCATTCCACATTATTCATGTCATTTCCATCAGTTTCTCTCTCCCTGTATAGGCTAGCCCTTCATTCAGCAACAGATAGTGTCACCCTGAGGCTACTCATTCTGGAATGGGGGAAGGGGGGAATTCCCTTTCATCCCCTGAGACCCTCCCCAAAGTCACCTCCCCCTGTGACAAGGTTCAAACACTTGTAAACAAGGTAAGTTACATCTTTTCCTAAATTTTCACAGAATGTGTACAAATCTGTATTACTTAAATGCCAACATTCAATCTGTTTTCATGAGTATCAGGGTGAGAAAACTCATCATTGCCCTGACCAGGTGGCTCAGTTGGTTGGAGCGTCATCCCATACACCAAAGGATTGTGGGTTTGGTTCCCAGTCCAGGCACATACCTAGGTTTTGGATTCCATCCCTGGTCAGAGCATGTATGGGAGGCGGCCTCTCTCGTATTGATATTCTTCTCTCTCTCTCTCTCTCTCTCTCTCTCTCTCTCTCTCTCTCTCTCTCTCTCTCTCTCATCATTAATCAATTAACCATATCCTCAGGTGAGGATAAAAAGAAAACTCATTATTCCCACTTAACTCTAGTAGCTCACTTTGGGATGGAATTGTTTGAGAAAATACTTGATGCCAGTTAGAGTCGAAGGTGAAGCCCTGAGGGTGTAATTTTGAAGCAAACTACAGAAGGAGAGTTCAACTGCTGTGCTCATTTAATGAAAGAGAATTAGGTGGATGGAGTGAGTGAGGTAGGGGAGAGCAGAAAAATGAGGCAGATAAGGAGAGAAGGAAAGGAAAAGAAGAAAGAATAGAAAGGAGTTCAGCAAAGGAGTAGAGGGATGGAATTAGAGTTGGCGGAAATGCCCAAGAAACATTTGAAGAACAGGGGGTCTAGTATTCAATTTTAAAGTGATCACTCTATGGCTGTACAATATAACCGTCCTTGTCATCAAATCGCCAACAGAAATCTACTGCATACAGCTGCATCATGTGTGCTGTATTTTAATGCAAGGAGCAAATTTTCTGAAAATGGAAGGCTTATGTCCTATGTTTGAGTTGACGCCAAGGAAAAGATAAAGAAACAGCTGAAAGACCTAGAGTGAAGGATAAGAAGGCAGTAGAAGCTGAAAGCTGAAAGCAGACGTGACTGGGAGGGTGCCATAGGAATGTACAGGAGTTTGGACAACAGCATTGAACTTCCAATTGTCTGGTGGACAAGGGATTTGAGCAGATCTAACCTAGATCTAAGAAGTGCATGGCGGGTAGCCCAGCTGATACGTGGCTTACTCAAATATGTGACTCTGTTGTATCTGAAATCTTTGAGATCCTAAACTATGAACTCTTCCAGGACAGGAGGGTAAAGTATTTGTTTTCTCCTAGCAGAGCCACGTGCCTGCTTAAGTAATAGCTAATGAAAGATTAGTGCATCACTTTATAAACTTTCACTAATTGATAAGTACTGAGATGTCATTTATCATAGTTGGTGGTCTAAGATTCTGGGATTGCTAGCTTAAGCTATTTTTTATTTAAAGGCTCTCTGGGGTTTATTTATGTATTATCTGTAATAATAAAAGCATAATATGCTAATTAGATCAGACATCCTTCCAGACCAAGCTTCAGTGGCTGGGGGCTGCCGTGGTGGTGGGAGTCAAGCCCCTTGCATGAATTTCGTGCATCAGGCCTCTAATATAATAATAATATACTTATATTATTATACTTTGGAGGTGATTTTAAAATTCTGTATTGCTTGATGGTATCAAGCAGTGTGTCAACCTCTTGAAGTCAACATCTTTCTTCAGTGTTGTAATGAATACCATGAAGAAGTTCCGGTCACAAGAACCTACCAGGGGCCAGAAGATGACTAGTCCTAGAGGGACTGCTGTGGGTTGAATTGTGCCCTCCCCGCAATTTGTATGTTGAAGTCCTAATACTGAGTACTTCAAAATATGTTTGTTTTGGAGATACAGATGTGTTTGCACCCAGAGGAAAGACCAGGTGAAGAGACAGTGAAAAGGTGACCTTCTACTAGCCAAGGAGAGACACTTCAGAAGAAAGCAAACCTGCCAACATCTTGATCTTGGAGTTCCAGCCTCTAGAACTGTGAGAAAATTCATATTCTGTTGTTTAACACCCAGCCTGTGGTCATTTGTTTTGGCAGTTCTAGAAAGTAAAGATAGGGACCATATTTTCCAAACTAAAAATTAGGACACATGACCTTACAATACAAGTGATTTATAGAAGCAATCGACTGAAATACCTTATATTTGAAATCCAGCCATATGTAACCCATAGTTTTACTTCCAAATAGGACTTGACTTAATCCTAGAAAAATACTTTTATTCAATTCTTTAAAAAAAAAATCTTAGAAAGGGGGTTCTATTACCACCACGGGAAATGTACCAAATCTCAATTTTGAAAGTGAGGTTTTACTATCATGCATTATTTTGGCACCATTTAAAAACCAAATCAAATGTAATTTAGAGAGAGTTAAGGGCAGAAATCCATGGACATTTTTCCCTTAACATGTGCTAGTAAGTGTAGTCTAAATTACTGTAAGCACACGCATTCTATTTTTAGAAGAAAGGAAATGGAAGAACCCTGAATACCTTCAGGAGGACAAATCCTACAAGAGGAACAGCACAGGCCAGCATCGGCAGCCTCTTAGGCCACCCGGCTACATAATTAGAAAACACCCGGGGGGTTAGGGGTGGCAGAAAGTGGGAAGGAGTTTAAACTAAATATTCTTTAAGATCTAAATCAAGGAATGAATTGGACTCTCGCCATGGTTGTTGGTACAGTGCATATTAAACACAATGTCTGTTTTCTCCCTTAGAGCAAGAATAGAAAGGCAAAGCTTTTATTTATTAATATGATCTAACAAAAATGCTAACTTCTATATGTTTAAAAGCCCATTGGGGATCCCAAGAACATAACAAAGCATATGGAATCCTCATCAAATGGAAGCCAGGTGTGATTTTTTTTCTTTTTTTGCCTTTACCAGAAAACTTCAGACTCACAGACCTCATAAGTCTGCATTTCTATTCTTTCCACAAGTTAGAGAAATGCAACTAAGTAAAAAGGAAAATTATATTATGAATATTTCTTGAAGAAATACAATTATTTGACTTCTGGGGTGAGATGACAAAATGGACCCAAATTATAAAATTGCTCAATTTACAAAAGCCAATGAAGAAAATGAAGACGCATAGCTAGAAAAGAATAAATTGTATCAACTCTCCTTAAACAAATGAGGAAAAACTCATATTGAAAAGTGTTACCCATTTCCTCAAAAAATTAAAAACAGAACTCCCAATTGGCCCAGTAATCCCACTTCTAGGAATATATCCCAAGAAACCAGAAACACTAGTGAGAAAGGACCTATGCACCCCTATGTTAATAGCAGCACAATTCACCATAGCTAAGATTTGGAAACAACCTATGTGCCCATCAGCAGATGAGTACATTAAAAAGCTGCAATACATCTACACAATGGAATACTACGCTGCTGTAAAAAAGAAAGAACTCTTACCATTCACAGCAGTATGGATGGACCTGGAGAGCATTATGCTAAGTAAAATAAGCCAGTCAGAGAAAGATAAATATCACATGATCTCACTCATATGTGGAATATAGTGAACAACATAAACTGATGAAAAACAGATCCAGAGACAGAGAAGCATTGAACAGCCTGTCAAACTTCAGTGAGAAGACAGGGTAGGGCATAGGGGAGGGTAAGAGATCAAGTGCAGGAGGTGGGGGGGGGGGAGGCTGGGGAGAGGTCAATGAGGGAAAAAGGAGATTACTATATGTAATACTATATGTAATACTTTACCAGGGGTCCTCAAACTACGGCCCGCGGGCCACATGCAAATACAAATATTGTATTTGTTCCCGTTTTGTTTTTTTACTTCAAAATAAGATATGTGCAGTGTGCATAGGAATTTGTTCATAGTTTTTTTTAAACTATAGCCCGGCCCTCCAACGGTCTGAGGGACAGTGAACTAGCCCCCTGTTTAAAAGGTTTGAGGACCTCTGCTTTAAACAATAAAAAAAGAAGAACACAAGCTCTTATTTCTGAAGAAAACATTGAACTATGTTGAAAGTTTGTAAATGACCAACTATGGAGAAGCGTATTTTAAAAACACAAATAAATAGTGATTTTCCCCAACAAAAATAGAAAAAGAAAAGTGTTACCCAGAGAAACCTGTGTGTTTCCAAAGATGGGAAGGTAGCTCCAAGCCTCATATGCCCAGGAGCAGTATCAAAACCAAAAAGATGAGTAGGGAAAATGAGGGGAGAAAAGTCTCCCTAATGTCTCCAGCCCCAGGGCACAGGGAGGCAGCCCAGGAGACATGAGAAGTTTCACCCTTTCTGCTCGCCCGACTCCCCCGCCAGGACTATTCAGAGAAAAGAGGATGTGCATGAGGGCCCAGAGATGATTGTCTCCATTTACAAACGGGTTTCCAAGGGTGAAAGCCAAAACAGAAAATACGTAACACAAAACTACTGAGATTTTGGGGGCCTGAGGTATGAAACTGCCTCATTTAAAATCCTCAACTTCTCTTCAGATTAAAACTGCCATCACAATAGTGGGGTATAGAAGACCCTCCACTACTTATTAGTTGTGTGACCCTGGCCAGGTTACTAAATGTCTCTTAGCTTCCGTTTTCTTATCTGTAAAATTAAAGTTATTATAATAGCTAAATGCAGATGAGTGCATTAAGGATAAAATAAGTTAATATATATGAAGCACATAGAAAAGTGTGGGGCACATAGTAAACACTATATTAGTGTTACCTATTACTATTATTACTGTAATTGCCACAGTCCATAAGCCTTCCTTTTCTTTTCTCCCTCTGGCTAGAATGGGTGTAGGAGGTATTCATTGTGGTCCAGGTATTACCTATGTTACTGCTGATTTAAAATAAAAAGATTCAATGCCTGGCCGAATGAAGCTCTCAATCTATTATGGGAAGGGAAGGGCAAATGTATCAACAAATGAGCCACCCAAGCTCCCTCAGTGCTTGCCCCAGTCTGTGCGTGGCAGGGTACTCAAGCCCTGGGGGAAATTTATTTGAGAGATCCCTACAATTAACACCAGTCATCAACTCCATGAAGATACGGAATCCCTACTTCTCTTTCAGTGGCGAATTGTGTTTCAGTCGTTTTTAAATAGTCTATGTTCTTGCCTGGCTGGACAAAAATCAACCTATGAACCAGGAGGTCACATTTCAATTCCCGGTCAAGGCACATGCCCAGATTTCGGGCTCCATCCCCAGTTGGGGCGGGGCGGGGGGTTGCAAGAGGCAGCAAATCAATGATTGTCTCTCATCGTTGATGTTTCTATCTCTCGCTCCCTCTCCCTTCCTCTCTGAAATCAATAAAGATATATGTATTTTTTTTAAAGAACATTAACTTTTAACAAAAAAAAGTCTATATTCTTCCAACTCTTCCTGTTCTGGTGTAGTGCACAAACATCACCACCCTGAGCCAGCCCCCTCTTATCATACCTCTTGCACAATTTGCTACATAAGCATGGCACATCAAAGCACAACAAAACTTCTCTCTTAAGCCCCTGCATTACATTCTGACTTGGCATGTACCCAGGTCCTGTCCTTCATTCCTCTGGAGTTAACATAGCACCCAGTGCATGTATATTCCACGTACTACATTCTTAATCTTCTTTTTATCCCTTCTCCATTCCTTTGATCCTTAAGAACAAAGAATGGAAAAACAGCTCAAAAACAGAGCCATGGTGTATGGCTGCACTAAATGTGCACCATTTTGTGAACAAGGACCCTAGAGTTGGTCAGTCTACAAGCTGAACAACCCTATGCAGCCCCTCTGCCAGCATGCATTCTAACAGAATATGCATGTAGCACATTGGGAAGCACAGCAGATAGAGTGCTCAGCTCCCTTTCGGAAGGTCAGGGAAAGCTGTATAAAACAAGTAGCTATTAACCATTCTTCCAAAAGTCTGGGGAGGGTGATGTAGGGAGCAGAAGCAGTATATGAAAAGGCACAGATGCATAAAACAGTGCAACATTCAGGCATTACAAGATTAGGAAGGACTGGGGAATATCTAGAGCAGAGGGACAATGGGAGGAACAGCGGGAGATGCAGCTGAAGATACAATCGTGTGAGGACTTGCTTGTTATGCCAATGAATTGAGAGTATAGGGGTGCCTGTGTATGTAGGTAGGGGTGGTCTTAGAATTAGGGAATGGGGTACACATGATCAAATTTGTGCTTTAGAAAGATCACTGTATCTATAGGGTCAGCTAACCTGGGAGACCACTTGGAGCCTCTCATCATTATCAGAGAACTAAAGACGAGTATCAATACTGATTAATGCAGAGATTCCAGAAGCATTTAACAAACAGATTAGATAAGACATATTGACTAATTGGGATGGAGAGCAAGTTGAAGAAGAGTGATATAACTTTCAGAACCCTAGTTCTGGTAACTGGATAGTACTTTTGGCCAGTGCTAACCGAGTAGGGGAAGAGCAGGCTTAAAAGGGTTGATATAGGTTAAAGTAGAAGAGCCCTTAAGACATGTAGATAAATAAATATATCAAGTCCCCAGTTGGTAATTTGGGTCTGAAGTTCAAGAGAAAGATTTGAGTTTCATTTCAAAGTCACGACAGAAGCTGACAGCACATGGAAGGGAGAAGTAGAGATTGCTAGTGCAGGGTATTATATGGGGACTTTGTTAAAAAAAAAAATAGACAGAACACAAGGTTGAGGAGGGTACTCTTTTTCTAATGGGACTTGAAAATATTAAAGGATGCAAGAAGGAATAAGGCAAAAGGGAGCAATAGAAACATGAGAAGACGTAATAACTGAAACTAGATCGGGAAGGGCATTGATTAAGAGCACAGTTCAGGGTGTCATTTGAACAGAGACCTTTCTGAGACTCCAGTTTCATTGAGGTGTAAGTTGGAAAATGAGCTTTCACATCTGAGAACGCTATGTTCTCTAGGAAATAGGAAAGTAGTCATTCATTAATTGTCATTCTTTTCAATAACTATTTTCTGAACACCTACCAAGTACCCTTGCACCACAGAAGGCATTCTCCCTGTCCTCTTGGAGCTTAAAATCTGGTGTCGTGGAAGGCATTATTTTAAAAATCATATAAATAAATGTAAAATGGCAACTGTGATAGATGCTATGAAGATTTACATGGTACAATAAGAGTTTATAGTGAGAGGAATTGACCTGGTAAGGTATCACTGAAGCCTTCCTTGCTGAAGTAACACAATTAGGACATGTCCCTTGAGGAAGAGACATGACTCCAAGCTACAAGTTGGAATCAACTGGAGAAGAGACAGGAGGAGGGTCAGCATGTGCAAAACTCCAAGCCAAGATGAAAAATAGTTGATGTGGATGGAGCAGAAAGAGTGAGGTAAAGTGTGGCGAAAGATGAAGCTGGAGACATAAGTAAGACCAGACCAAGTAGGACCTTGTAAGACATTGCAGGAAGGCACTTTTAAACTGAAAAGTACTAGGAAGATATTGAGGAATTTGAAGAGGGGCTGGAGATCACATGATCACATTTGTATTTCATCAAGTTGATTTTAGCTGCAAGCTCACTGAAGGGATTAGAGGAATCAGGAAAGGACAAGATAGACCCATTTCTGTAATCCTGGGAAGAAATTCTTATAGCTCATAAAAGGTGGTGGTGGTGGTGAAAATAGAGATGATTTCAAAGATTTTTATGAAGTGAAATTCAATAAGACAAGGTGAGAAGTGCATTGAGGTTGGCTCCTAGATTTCCAGTCCGCACACATTGGGTGAGTTGCTGAAGTGAAGTACACTGGAAGTAGACTGGGTTTGAGGAAGGATCAAGAGTTTTCTTCTAAATATATCAATTTTAATGTATCCTTGAGATATTCAAGAGTCAATATCAAGCATAATGCTGGACACATGAGCCTGGATCTCAAAGGAGAAGTCTGCACTGTAGATACAGAGTAGGCATCACTAGAGCAAGATTGTTTATGAAAATAATATAGAGGAAAGGACAGGGCCCAAGACAGACCCTTGAGGAACTCAAACATTCAGTGGTTAGGTAGAAGACAGTGAGACTGAAGAGGAAGAAGAAATGGCCAGAAATGTAAGAAAGATTTAAAAAAAAAAAAAAAAAAAAAAAAACTAAGGCAGTTTCATGGCACAGAAAATGAGATGAGAAAGTTCCAGAAAGAGGAAATATCCAAGAATGTTACTAAGAAGAAAGATGAGAGTAGAAATGTCCTTTCAGTTGACATGAATCCCATGGGGGTAATAAAGCCAGAAATCACACTGGGCAGGTTGAGGAATGAGTGGGAGGAGAAAATGGAGACAGTGAATATAAACTATGCTACTAAGAAATTTATCTTGAGTCATGGACTGAGACTAAAAGGGATAAAAATTGAGAAGGTGCCTTGAGGAGAGAGGGAGGACAGTTAAGGCAAGCAGCTGTGAGTTATTAAAGAGAGAACTGACCTAGAACAAGTGAAAAACTATAATGAACTGGGAAGACAGACTTCCCTTAATTTGTAGTGGCACCAGTTTGCCTGGGTGGGCAATTCTTTCTAGCTATCAAAGTCTGAACTGAGGAAATACCAAATTGTGGTTAAAGAAGAAAAAGAAAAGGGAGAAATAAACAACCAACGAGGAGACAATGAAGTAGAGAGGCTTGAGAGAATGAAGTTCAAATTGGCCATGGGACCCAGGCTCCACATGGAAGGAATTGTGGTTCCCAGGAGCCTGATAATTTAGCGGAAAATGAATGAGTCAAGGGATTAGGGACCTCAATAAAGACGAAAGACATATTTAGGGGAAATGCAGGGTTAAGAAAGCTGAGACGGTAGGTGAAGCAGATGCTGTTGAAGGCCCCCGAATCTCTGTGGTCATCCTTATTTCTATGCCCCTACTCTGGCCAGACGGTTGCTTACTTTTGGCTCAGGGCCTTTTCAGGGCCAGAAATTCTGGGCAGTTTATGTCCCTAAGAAGCAGCCTCAGCCAATGACTGATGGAAATAGGCAGATAACTCCCCAGCTCCCCAGGGTGAGCACTGGGAGGGATGTTCTGTTTCCTTCTCTGCCTTGTCTCAGCCCCACACCCCACTCCCCCCGACTGAGATTAGCTCCCAATAAACTACTTGTACTGGAATCTCTCCTCAGGGTCTGCTGCTTGTGAGACTCAAACCAAAATAGTAGGCAATTGCTGTTGAAGCTTTTAGAGGTGATCCTGGGGATACAAAGAGCACAGGATGTGCTAGTGAGAGGTCTGCTCAAATGCCATGGAGGTGAATGCTGTTGGTTCTGAGATCTTAGATAACCATGTTTGGGGTTACCTATAGGGATATCAAATTGACCTTAGAGGTTTTATATGGTGACTTAGACAAGACCATGAACCAAGTACCAATTTTCCATACTGTTGGAGAGAGATTAGAAGGCTAGTAGATGACAGTGACCCACAGGGTTGTAGGGTAGATTAGGTGGATGGCATGACCTCAAAAAAAGAGGATTTTTACCCAAGGGAAGTGGAGTAATGTCTAGCCCCAGGAGAAGGGAGTGAGGACACGTATACTCTAAGAGGAAGAGCAGCCCCCGCTGAAGAGAGCCTAATTGAAGGAAAGCAATGTCTCTATGAGAGAACAACAGATTCATCGGCAATGGGTTAAAGATACAGAGAAAGTCTTTACAGGAGGTTCCAGATGGTTTAGGATAGAGGTCAACAGATAGGGGATAAATCAAAGAGATGAAATACAGGAGGTATGGGTTAAGGGGAGGAATAGAGGTTGTCCATTTTGATCAGTGCCTTGGAGTGAACCTTCCCAATCCCCTTCTGAGGCAGGATCCCGGGGAGCTGGTGTCCACAGTCACACAACCGTGTATGGTGGGATTGAAGAAACTGAGCCAGGCAGTTGGGCCCTAGAGACCACTAGCCACCATTCAGTGCTGCCCCTGAGGTTCAGGGCTCCAAGGCCCCTCTCAAAAGCACAGGCAGGAATCTGTACTTATATCGTGCAATGCTTACACTTTAAGAAAATGGTGGTATGCAAAGCATGATTATGTGGAAATATGCAAAATAATAAAACAATCAATTAATAATAACTGTGCCTGTACTCTGGCACCACTGTCTTTCTTTCTTTTAAATCCAGGCTTCTGTTTTTACCACCCATCTCTATCACAGTAAACAGAGCTAGCATCCAGAAGACTGACATTAAAAGAATTATTATCTGTTCAGAGTTCATTCCAAAAAGGAATCTGCAATATAGCAACTTCTGAATTGGGTTCAGTCTATGCTCTTTGATGCACTACAGATGTTACTGCAGAACAGCTAATCTAATAATCTCCTGCCCGGCAGGAAGCAAGACTCCTGGAAAGCTGGGCTGAGTCACGTGTCTCAGAGCCCCCTCAAGAATGAAAGCTCTCCCCCAGCGGCTGACAATGCTGCAGGTCCAAACCCTCAGTGTGTCGCCTCCTATGGAAAGTGCCATGGCTCTTTCTCCACTCAAGGTCACTGCCCTTCCCTGGATGCTGCATCTGACGGGAGTGGGGAGAAGGGAAGTGTATATAAAGGCCAAGCCCTCTATCTCAAGACAAGTCAACTCTGAAGTGCCATCTCAGTTGCAGAGCTCCTAGTGGGGTCAGCTGAAGCCTTTATTGGGACTGCATCACAACTAGACTTCCCTTAATCTTGCTTCCTTCCTCTCTTTTTTTATAGGTGCCAATCTCAAAAACACGCCCTAATAAACATCCTTCATTTAATCTCCATTGCAGAGTCTGAAAAGGTAAAACTCCAGGAATCAGGTCTGACAGTGCAACATTGGTTTATAGGAAATGTGCCATTTGCCAGGTATTGAACGGGAGAGGGGAAAGAGCTTATGCTAAGTCATATGGACTGGGAATTGAATCCTCACCTTATATTTCCTCAGGGGAAGTTTATAAAATTCTTTGACTACAGAACTATTTTGTGCTTGGTATTTCTCTTAGAGCTCAAGGTAGGATAACAACTCTGATTTGCACAGGTCTGGGGCAGGGTGGGTTCTGGTAGGGATGACTTTTAGGACTATAACTGGGACAGCTCTGCTCAAACCAGGGTATTGGTCAAGGTCAGTAACTTTGGGGATGCTTGGAATTGAGAAACAAGGTTTGTTGACCCCCTGGAGAGAGAGAGAATGGCTGGATTCTGCTACTCCCATCCCTGCTACCCCATTCATTGCCAATTACTATGTATGGGCTGGGCTTTAGTCCAGCGTCCATAGACTAGGATGTGGTGGGCCCGTACTTGCCCTGTTGTGTAATACTGATGAGTTGATATAAGAAGGAAACCCATGCTTTTCTGCCAGAGAAACTGAAGCTTAAGAAATCTCTGACATACCTAAAGTTCCTAAAAAGGAATGCTAGAGCCAGAATCAATATTAAATCAGAAGCATCCCTTAATTCCCTAGTTAACTTCTATTATGATGACTGAAATATGTAGAAGAAAGCAAAAGACTAACTTAGGTAACAACTCTGTCTCAAACCACTCAGACCTCCATACCCTGACTGCTATACCCTGATTAGCTTTGGAAAGTGTCTCACTGTACACTGGCATGACTTGACAGGCTGAGCCCCAAGACTGATTCCACAGCAGTCCCCCACACTCGTGTACATTTCATGTTGTCAGGTCTGGAATATCAAGTTAGAATACATGTGCAGCCAGGGTGTCCCTAAATTGTAACTTGCATCCCCAAGTAAGGACTTTTTAACTCCGTTGTAGATGTTGTGACTCTCAGGCCAGTGGGCGCCTGCATCTCTGGGTGTAGACACAAGCACACACTGACTCAGAGAACTTGGGCTCCATGTATGGCACGCAAAGCCCACACTTCACATTCAGGACCCAAGACAAAGCCTTTCATCCACTGGCCTGAATAAATAAATATTTTCTGCAATCAATGTAGCCGCCTACTTTGTTCTTGGGCTTGTCGTGATGAACTTCATAGATGTTTATAAGATCAGTGGCTAGCTACTAAGAATAGATTTAAACAGGGGGAAGTGCAGACAGCTCAGAAAAGGAATGTTGGATTGGGGGATCCTGTTTTCTGTTTATCCACCAAAACAGGAATTCTTCAGTAGCTGAGAGGTGTCCCAGGGGCCCAGAGGAAACGCTTTGTGAAAAAAATGCCCCCCAGATGAGTAATTATATCAGCAGCCTTATTTGTTGCAAGTATTCCATCATCTGCTTATGTTAACTTATCTAAACTGTGAGAAATTAACATTTAGGGCAACAACGGGTGCTCATGACTTTGAATAAGTCACATCTTACATACATTGACCATAGGCTGCTGGCAAGCAGCCATTAGCCAAAAGGACATAAACACCCATAAACTGAAAATAGTTCCCATTTTATTTCCACTCAGATGTGTAATACCCACAATTTCCATTGCTGTTTGTTAAAGTAATCTTACTCCCACAAGGTGCTTGTAAAGCCATAGAATTCCCCGGGTGTCAGGGTTAGTAATAAGTCCTTCCTTATAACTCATACATTCAAAAGAATAAGCCAACTTCAAATAAGGATTAGAAGAACATTTACCCAAAGAACAAAAATAAAGACAGACAAGCACCTCATAAATTAGTTTGCTAATCCGACAGTTATGCTTAATGGTTTCATTGACTCTATTCCTAATTCGTTGTAAGGTTTTGCTTAGTTCCCTGGTGAAATGGCAGCATGAAAGCATGGTTTTACCATAGGAGCCTCTGGGATATTTATTAAAAGGTGATACACGCATACACACACACAAACACACACGGTTATTATTCCTATTTTAACATAAAATAAGTTAGCATGCGTATCTCATGTGTTTCTTGTGAAACTGTTTTTTGGTTGGTATTTCAAAATACATTTTATTTCATATTGTTTTATGATGAGAAGATTAACACTGCCGATGTGGAAACATTTTCTACACTCGCCAACTTAAATCGTTTTAAAGTTCAAAAGTAAAGGGTGACATATTTTTCACTTTGCCTCCAGGTTTGACGAAAATTAAAAGCAGACTTTATAAGCAGATACCATGATTTCATAATGGGGACAAAAGCATTTACAATGCAAAGAACCCCCCTTGGGAGCTCTTGAACTTTCTGAAACAATGGTCTGGGTGGAATTCGGTTTTCTGCATGTCTAATGTTTAAAAACAGCTGGTTTTTGTTTTGGTGGGGGTTTTTCCCTAAAAGAATCTCATTCCCCCTAAAATTTTCTGACATTCATAATGGCTTTTGCCCATGCCATTTGGGAAATGCACTTCTGATTTCCCAATTTATTCATTTATAAATATCATAAATAAATGAGGTGGTAATGCCCATCATTACTACTACCTGGTAGAAAGATGATTCTAATTCTCATATCCCGCCATAAGGAACCATACCCTAAAATATTCCTCTTTATTATTGTCCAATTGAGCACTGAAAAAGTTCAGGATAATTTCTTTTCAGATTAAAGAGAGAGAATCACCTGTAATTTTAAATTACTTAACCATTTCTAAGGTGACATGTTTGGACAGATATTAGGTGAGGTCCTATGGGCTAAAATGTATTTCTTCTTTCTGGTGACTGATTTTTTTCTGCATTTGCAGTCTCTAGATTAAAAGACTTCAAGAGCCCTAACCGGTTTTGCTCAGTGGATAGATCATCGGCCTGCGGACTCAAGGGTCCTAGGTTCGATTCTGGTCAAGAACATGTACCTTGGTTGCGGGCACATCCCCAGTAGGGAGTGTGCAGGAGGCAGTTAATCGATGTTTCTCTCTCATTGATGTTTCTATCCCTCTCCCTTCCTCTCTGTAAAAAAAATCAATAAAATATATTTAAAAAAATAAAAGACTTCAAAAAACCAACTGTCACAATGTTAATTCAAGGGTTTAAAAATTTCAGGGGTTCACCTTTTTGGTTCCTTAGTTTTGGGCTCTTGAAAATATAAGCTTTTTTTGTAACTAGATGTAATTCATAAGAGTAATACAATAAAACAACAAAATCTGCCTCCATCTGTGAGTTTGGGGAGTTAAGATAATTAAGGCAAAAAAAACTTGAAGTTCAGATTATAAAACAAGATAGCCTACATGCACATCATCACATTGGAAAATTTTTAATCTAATTAGGCAAATTAAAGAAAAATAAATTAAAGATAGTTATCTGTTTTGTTTTTTGCTGCCTAGCAAATTATCTCAAACATAGTATCATCCAGCCCTAGTCAGGTGGCTCAGTTGGTTAGAGCATCGTCCTGTAAACCAAAAGGTTGAGGGTTCGATTCCCTGTCAGGGCATATACCTAGGTTTCAAGTTTGATCCCTGATGAGGCATGTATGGGAGGCAACCAATTGATCTTTCTCACCTCTCTCTCTCTCTCTCTTTCTCTCTCTCTCTCTCTCTCCCCCTCCCTCCCTCCCTCCCTCCCTTCCTCCCTTCCTCCTCTCTCTAAAATCAACAAACATATCCTTGGGTGAGGATTAAAAATCCTCACCAATCCCAATTCTTTATTTAGCTCATAATTGTGTGGGTCAGTGACTTGGGTTGGACTCAACCCATGATCCTTCTATGTTCTCAGCTACAGTCACTCATTAATCTGTGATCAGCTGCTGGTTCTGAGGTCAGTTGGTGGGTGCTCTAGAGGCTGGCTCATTCCTGTTGGCCTCATGTACATGTCTCTCTCTGGAGAGAGAGAGAAAGAGAGAGAGAGAGAAAGAGAGAGAGAGAGATCGAGCAGAGAGATTGATTCTGCTGCATACCATTGATCAAAGCATGTCACTTCAGCCCAGGTTCAAGGGATGGAGAAATAGACTCCATCTCTTGATAGGTGGGGGGCCAAATGCAGGGAGGGACATTACAAGGGCATAAATGCAGGGAGGGACAGAATCAGTAGCCATTTTTATAATCCACCACAGTATCAAATTGCTTGTTTGAAAGCAAGAAGAAAAGCAGGGCTTAGAATGCTTAGAAGTGATGGCTAGAACCACTAAGTTTCCCTTGACTTTTGGCAAGTTGCCTCCCATACACACCCAGACCCAGGATCGAACCTGCAACCTGGGTATGTGCCCTGACCAAGAATCAAACCCGAAACCTCTCAGTGTACCGGATGATGCTCCAACCAACTGAGCCACACTGGCCAGGGCAGGTGCCAATTTTATTTTATGAAAAGACTGAATGTGTACATTTTTACAGATAGAAAATATACCTCGGCTATGTTTCTCGGAAAAGTAAGTCTCCGGATTACGAAGTGTAAAGGCAGGTGGCAACAGATGACCTCAGATGCTGTCACTGCATCTGATTCCCAGTCTTAGAAATAGAAATAATAGGAATAGACATGATAGAAACAAATGCATGTAACTTAGAGAATTTAGAGAATGGAGGAAGGAGGCGAGCAGCTTTGAGTGGATGTGAGCATGAGTCCCAGGAGGGCAGACAGAGGTAAAGAGAAGGGAAGTCTGTTAGATATAAGCACCCATGGGCTGTCTTCACAGGAAGTCCAGCCTCACAATGGAGCCAGAGAACAGACGCCAGAAGAAAGTGGCTCCAGGAACAGAAGAATTTGATAAACACCCTAGATATCAGTGAGAAAATACCAGTTTGTTGGAGCTAAAAATAAGAAAATTGCATGACTTTCTGCATTCTTTGCCTAGAGTGAGATCCAGAGAAAAACAGACCCATTGGCCTGGGAGAGAGTTTTAGAAAGAGCATCTTAATGACATCCTTCTGGTATTGTTTTTCTTCAGACCTCTGATGCCCACTCCCATTCTCTCTTGGCAGCTCCCTGCAACAGTTGGCCGCTGTGACTTCTGAGAACTTGCTATGGATGTGAAATCCCTCCTCTTTAATTTAAGTCCGTGTCCACTAATTTGGTCCTTCACAAAAGTGATGAAAAACTGGCCCGCATTCTCCACATTAAAACCTTTCATTTATCTAAAGATAGTCATTAAGCCTCCCTCAGCCTGCTTTTCTTTGGGCCAAACAACCCCACATGCTTGAACTTTTCCTCATAAAACTAATTGTCATCCTTTACAACATCCTTTTGTGCCTCTGGTTTCTTCACATCAGTTTTAACAGCAGACACAAACAAGCCAAAAAAACACGTTTCCTAGCAAAATTGGACTAAGGAGGAGCATAAAGGAATCGGACACAAAGGAGAGGGATTTCCTAACCTAAACCATCCCTGTCTTACTTCTGGCATCTCAGCATCATGCTGCTTTTTCCCACAGATCCACTGCATCTCTGAGGAATACTCATTTAGGAAACGGAGCCCGCCCCACCCAGGTCATGTTGCCGCTAAACTTGTACCTTGTCATAATCTCCGCGACAGCAAACAGTAATAGCTGCATCTAACTTTGTTGCCCTGTGCTAACCACTCTTAAGTGGTAGGTCTATCATTATCCACATTTTACAGCAAAGGACACAGGCCTGGGGAGGTTTGAGAACTTGCCTGAGGTGATCATGTTGCTCAGTAGTGAGGCCTGCATTGCCACCCAGCCGCTGGATTGCTGGGTCCCCGAGTTTGAGACATGTCCTCATGTCTATCTGCGGATTGTAGATAATGTTATCTCTTTTTTATACCGACGGGCTGGATTCCTGTTCCTCAGCAAATACTTCTCTCAACAACACTCCTGGCTTATCAAGGTCATTTACAAATGTATACTGGCTCTCAGTCTAGAGAATTAGCAACTTCTACCTAAGTAACAACTGCAGTTTAG